TCCAACTTTGTTCATGTGAAAACCCATATTTAAATTTATTCTTAAAAGAAAATAAATTAATTAAACAATTAATTAATGTTATTCAGAACCTACCTAAAATATAGAATAGTGAAAAAAAAAATAGTTTTAAATTAACCCAATTCTATCACTAACAAAGACCTTATTAAGAATAATAAGGTATTGATGTTCAATAATTATTGTTATAAATTTATATTAATATATATATATATCTATATATATATATATAGGAGAATCAGATTCGGTGGCAAGGGTATGCCACATGCTAACTTGCATGTTGGCTTGGTGAATTCTACCAAATGATGGCTTTGGGGTAGAGTGAAGTTTATGGCAGGGAATAACATCATGACAAGAGAGAGAGAGATCTGCCTATATATATCATAGGTAGACTTAGTTCATGGACACATACAAACAAAAGAAGGAGTATATATGGGTGATGAGGGATTCAGTAGAAGGAAAAGAAGAGGGGAAGGTTAAAGAAGCAAAATTTTTCTACCACTTCATCACCCATTTGAATCCTACTATTAAGTAAGAAAACCCTCTCAATCCTCTCATTTTTTTTATATATTTGAAATTTTCAGCATATATGATAGATTGTCTAAACTGTGTTGAGAATAATCTGTTTTGAATCTGCCAGCATGTTTGCTCGAATTTTTAGACAATTTTATACTCAAAATTTCGAGATGATTTCTTCTACAACGTTGTTGATAATGATATCTAGTTCATCCAGGAATTTTGGCAACAATTTTTGAGCTTTCTATAAATTTATACAAATATTTTTACTAAATCTGAAACTGTGTTGAGAATAATCTGTTTTGAATCTGTCAGCATGTTTACCCGACTTTTTAGATAATTTTATACTCCAAATTTTGAGATGATTTCTTTTACAAAGTTGTTGATAATTATGTTTAGTTCATCCAGGAATTTTGGCAACAATTTTTGAGCTTTATACGAATTTATACAAATATTTTTACTAAATTTGAAACTGTGTTGAGAATAATCTGTTTTGAATCTGCCAGCTTGATTACCTGAATTTTTATACAATTTTATGCTCAAAATTTCGAGATGATTTCTTCTAAAAAGTTGTTGATAATGAAGTCTAATTCATCCAGGAATTTTGGCAACAATTTTTGAGCTTTCTAAAAATTTATAAAAAATTTTAACTAAATTTGAAACTGTGAGACATATTTTATTATGTATTTGAAAATTTATTTAAAATTCTATACTAAGTCAAATCTGGTAATTTCTAACTAAAAGATGAAATTTGAGAAGTCAAGTTTCATGATAAATTTTTACATTATGGATTTGATCTATAAATTTAAGCATGGAATTAATGTAAGGAAATGTGACAAATCTGTGTCATAAAAATTGCTGGAAATTTTACAGGATTATTTCCATCTTATTTTTTCTGAAATTATTTCTGAAACGTGACCTAAACACCCCTATTGAGTATGCTGTTCAATTTCATGACTTTTAGGATTGTGTAAATAATTTATTTATAATTTTTAATACCTAGGTTACAATCTAAAATTTTCTGGAAAGGATAAAATCATCATTTTAATATTGTGTTGGTTTAATCCGTCAATTATTATAAATTAGTAATCCATGTATGGGTGTGTTGTGATTTATTTAATATTATGCTACGTCCAATTTGGTAAATCAAAAATTTGTGCATGTGTGTAATTATGGTTTATTTCTTGTATCTAAGTTATTATGTTCATACCATAGTTTAAATTAATTGTCTATTAACTTTTATACGTTGAATTATTTTTGGTGTGACATGTATAATGTTGGGAGTTTTGTTTTGGTTGGTATAACATTATTGGTGATTGAGAATTGAATAGTTTGTGTTTAGTATATAAATTAACCGAAATGATTAATGGTATATATAGAAAGTTACTGACAGAGGGTCAATACCTGGTATTCAGGGTGAGCCCTGGTTTTTAATAACTTTTAAGTAAATTGTGTCGCGAAACCCTAAGTTGGCACGGGACTATTTGAACTCTTATCGGTATTTGGTTTTGGAATAAGGGTGGATATGCGGGTGGCACGTAGGGAAGTTACGTACCCCTGGCAGACCGTTCCCTTGGGTCAGACCACGGATGTCACGGCTTGGGTATATAACTCCGGGCGTGGGCATCTTTGGTAGTTTTTGAATATTTGACCACTGGGGGTTTCCAAATTAACCGTGGCCATGTCTTAGTGGTTGGTAACTTAAACCTCTTTGGCGAAATTTCAAAGGTCACCTAAGTTATCAAAATTATTTGAAGTATTTTAATGGCTGTAATTTATGTTTACGATTTATATTATTATCTCATGTTTATAATCTCATTATTTTCTCTCAAAAAGAATGATAGGTTGGTTATGTTTTCTTACTGTGTTGCAAAACTCATGGCATATATTTTGTTGCCCTGTTGTTTCATGCCAGATTATGTCGAAGAAAGGATTGAGGCTGAAATTGGAGCTGTTGCTAATATCGAACCTTGGCTAACTTAGAGTCAAGATTTTATCAAAATAAAAATCCTGTTATTTCTTGTATTAGTGTTTAGCTATGTTGTGACGTTGTGTGTGAACTTGTAGTTTTATTTTGTTGTTGGACTTTGACTATGTAAGAATTTGAAATTTCCTAATTAGTAGTTAAAATTTTATCTAGCAAGTTATTGTTATTTAAATCTTATGACGTTTTAAGAACAAAAATTTGGGGCGTCCCAGTTTGGTATCAGAGCCTAGGATTGAACCTTTGGGCCATGGGTAGTAATTTATTATTTTTACATTTAAGAAAACCTTATGTTAATTTGTAATTTTCGGTGACTTAACTAAGTTAGAACCTTTTATTTGTAAGATGCCAAGGTAATCAGACATTAACTCTAACGAGGAAAATTCGGTGGAAAACTATGACATAGAATCTGACCCAATTAAAGAAGTGGAGATGCCTATAGAAGACTATGAATCCATAAAATCTGACCCAAGTGAAAAAGTGGAGATGCCTATAGAAGACTATGAATCTGAGCCTGAGCTTGACCCTGAACCTGAGTCTGAAGAAGTTGTACCAATATACAACCCCCTGGAGGTTATTGTGATTGAGTCAGACACTGAAGATGAGTCTATAGAAGGCAATACCGAGGAGAGCACTGAAGATGTAGGAGCCACGTTTGAGGGTTGGGATGTGCGAAACGGGTTGCAGATTGGCTCTTTTGTATATGTCAGACTTTATTCCCTAGGAGGTTGTGCTTGGAAAGCTGAGAGTTGGGTGGGTACCTATATCAGACCTGTCCAGATTCTAAGACAAAAAACTCCCTGGGTATACCAATTAGGCCCCTTCCCAGATGGTTTCACCGATAGAGTGGGCGACCTTTTTGACTTTTAGAGCCTTTAGTGTATCATGCCCGACCCAAGCAAAATTATGAGGAGAGATGGGTCAGTGGACTTCAGGGACTGGAGGATCTATCGGGAGGAGCCGGTGCAGCTGCTAGGGCATCGTGTGTGCGAAACTGCTATCTTCGTGAGGGTGCTGTGGCAATTCATGGGACTTTTTCCAAGCCACCTGGGAGCTGGAAGCCCTTGTGTGGAGAGACTTTCCCTGGCTATTTTAAGGGGTCCTAAGGGAATTATAAACTAGGCTAACCGATTGTTTTGTATGCTCACATGTAAAATTGCCTAGTTTAGAATTGTGAGTGTAGGAGTTAACTAACGAGGAAATGAATGGGGTGGGCGTGGGATGTTCTGAAAATCCTATAAAGAGGCCTTCAAGGCGTACACTTTCTCTCACTATTTACTTCCTACCCCTTCAACAATTTTTTTTTTTTTTTTTTTTTTTTTTTCTATTCTTGCACATAAATATAGTAACATATAATAATAATAAATGAATATATCACAAGAAAATCCCATCATGCAGAATGGTTGGACGAACAAGAAATAATAACAACGGTAATGGTGATGGAGTGCCTGACGGCGATGTTGCTCAAATTATATGCGCGATTGCTGATAGGGTAGACAATATACCACCCTGAAACCAAGATCAAAACAAATCAGAAATGATAGCAAAATTTGAAAAGCTACGTCCCCACAAATTCCTTGGTGGATCAAGCCCCCATGAAGCTGAAGCTTGGTTAAGACAAATTAAGAAGTTGCTAGATACTTCCGACATCCGAAATGAACAAGCTAGAGTGACCATAACAACATTTCAAATGGAAGGGGAAGCAGATCATTGGTGGGAAATGATCAAAAGTACTCGACAAGTAGAGACATTAACTTGGAGACAGTTCGAAGACCTGTTTATGGAAAAGTATTTTCCTAACTCGCAAAGACAAGAAATGATTCAAGAGTTTCTCCAACTGAAACAAGGAAAAATGTCAGTCGCTCAATATGCGAACCGTTTTGAAGCTCTTTCACGATATGCTTCAACCATAGTAGCAAATGAAGAGGATAAGGTTAGGTGATTTGAATGGGGCTTGGACACTGACATTAGAGGAAGATTGATCGCAGTGCAACTTTCCACCTATGCTCAAATGGTGGATCGAGCTTTAATTGTGGAACGGGAGTTAGCGGATTCCGAACGCATTCGAAATCAGCAATCAAGGAACAACAACCAACCATGCGGAGGAGGCCCAGTCCGCAGCACCAGAAACCATCCTGCGCCAGCACCTTATACTGAAGGGTTGCAGCAGTAGCAAAGACAGAATCGAGGAAACTAGCAAGGAGGAAACTATGTAAATGAGTGGAAAGAAAATTGTTTCAGATGTGGTCACCAAGGGCATCGTCGAAGTGAGTGTCCTCAGGGTGAGGAGTATTTTACGGATCAGCGAGGGGCACAACAATACAACAAATGCCAGCTAGGGCAAGGTTCTATGCCTACTCAAAATACTTAGGCCAACAAGGGGCAGGCACAAGCCTCTAGGAATGCAAGCCGACCAAGAACACAACCACAAGGAGCTGGAAATGAAAAGAAACCAGGAGGGACTAACCAACAGGCAGTAGGAAGAATGTATGCTCTCCAAGAAGAAGAAAATGTTGATAACCCATCAGTAATTAAAGGTATGTTAATCCTTACGAATTCTTGGGTTAAAGTATTGTTTGATTCTGGAGCTTCGTATTCTTTTATATCCACTGCATGTGTGACAAGTTTGGGTTTAGAACCAGAAGCGTTAGAGATAGCTATGAGTGTCGCTTCACCCTTAGGAGGTCAAATCCGAGTAAATCTAGTATGTAAATCTTGTGAGCTAGAAATCTCCAGTTCATATTTGATCTGTGATCTAAGAGTTATGGATATGTCTGATTTTGATGTCATCCTAGGAATGGACTGGTTGTCAGTTCATCGAGCCATTATTGATTGTTACTATAAGATAGTGACAGCATCCCCCCTTAACGGCACGAAAGTTCAATTTAAAGGAAATAGACAAGATTCTCTAACTCCAACGTGTCGCAAGTCGTGATGGCATGATCAACTAACTGGATGGTTGGCAAGCCTAATTTTGGAAGACGAAAATCAAAAGAATCCAGGATTACCCCATGTGGTGTGCAAATGCGCTGACGTTTTCCCTGATGAATTACCGGGATTACCCCTAAAACGAGACGTAGAATTCACGATTGAGCTTCAACCTGGGACTTCACCGATTTCAATAGCACCACATCGTATGGCTCCAGCTGAACTTCGAGAATTGAAGGAGCAGTTGCAAGAACTGTTGAATAAAAAGTTCATCAGACCAAGTACGTCTCCTTGGGGAGCGCCGGCATTATTCGCGAAGAAGAAAGATGGAACCTTAATATTGTGCATCGATTACTAACAACTAAATCGAGTCACCATTAAAAATCGATATCCCCTACCCAGAATTGATGACTTGTTCGATCAATTAAGAAGCTCAAAATGTTTTTCCAAAAGTGACCTTAGGTCGGGATATCACCAACTTCGTGTCAAAGGAGGAGATATACCCAAAACTGCGTTTCGAACCCGTTATGGCCACTATGAGTTTGTGGTAATGCCATTTGGTTTGATGAATGTGCCTAGGGTATTCATGAGTTTAATGAACAAAATCTTTACACCTTATTTGGACCAATTTGTGGTAGTATTCATTGACAATATTTTGATATACTCACGATCGAAGGAAGACCACGAGCAACATCTGAGAACCGTTTTGCAAATTCTAAGAGAGAACCAATTGTATGCTAAAGCTAGTAAATGTGAATTTTGGTTAAAGGAAGTAAAATTCTTAGGTCATGTTGTGTCTGAATCAGGAATATCAATGGATCCTGCTAAAGTAGAAGCAGTAATGGGGTGGAAACAACCTAAGAATACGTTTGAGATTCGTAGTTTCTTGGGATTAGTAGGTTATTATAGGAGATTCATTCAGGATTTCTCCAAATTAGCCAAGCCGATGACACGCCTAATGCAAAAAAGAGTAAAGTTTGAATGAAACGAAGCGTGTGAGCTGTCATTTCAAGAACTCAAGAAGAGACTGACAAGCGCTCCTATATTAATCATACCCGAACGTGACGTTGGGTACACTGTTTATTGTGATGCCTCTAAAGAAGGGTTAGGTAGTGTGTTAATGCAAAACGGGAAGGTAGTAGCTTATGGATCAAGACAATTGAAGAATCATGAGAAAAATTATCCTACTTACGATCTAGAGTTGGCAGCTGTGGTCTATGCACTTAAGACTTGGCGACATTACCTTTATGGTGAAAATTTGAAATATTTACCGATCACAAAAGCTTGAAGTACTTGTTTACACAAAGAGATTTGAACATGAGGCAGAGACGCTGGATGGAGTACCTTGAAGATTACCAATTCACCTTGTCTTATCATCCCGGGAAGGCTAATGTTGTAGCAGATGCACTAAGTCGAAAGACAAGAGAGATTGTAGCCAACATATCAATTAAAGAATGGGAAATGGTAAGCACCGTGAATGGGTTTAAGTTACAACCAGAGACTCAGGATGGGAAGGGTAGGTTGTTTACAATAGTTACCACACCCCAACTTCTTACCAAAGTGTTGGAAGCCCAAAGATTTGATCAGGAGACGGACTTTATCAAGGCCCGATTAGTGTCCAGGGAATCTTCACCGGATTGGACGCTCCACCAAGATGGTAGTTTAAGGTATTTAGGTAGAATTTTTGTGCTAAACATCGAACAATTAAAAGACGAAGTACTTAAAGAACTTCACCATTCGGTTTTTGCGGTTCTTCTGGGAGGAAATAAGATGTACCAGGATCTTAAGCGACAGTATTGGTGGAGTGGAATGAAGAAGGACGTTGCTCAATTCGTATCTAAGTGTTTGACGTGTCAGCAAGTGAAGACAGAACATCAAAAGTCGGCAGGGAAACTCCAACCTTTATCAATACCTAAGTGGAAATGGGAACACATAATAATGGATTTTGTAACGGGATTACCCCGGTTGCTGCAAGGCTATGATGCCATTTCGGTGGTGGTTGATCGATTAACTAAGACGGTACATTTCCTACCAATAGGACCAGCAGGCACACTCGAATCTTTAAGTCGATTATTTATTCGAGAAACCATTAGACTGCATGGAGTACCAGTCTCAATAGTGTCAGATCGTGATTCTTGTTTTACGTCACAATTCTGGCAAAGTCTGCAAAAAGCTTTGGGTACAGAGTTGTGTTTTAGCACAGCTTTTCACCCTCAAACTGACGGTCAATCAGAAAGAACAATTTAGACTTTAGAAGACATACTTCGAGCTTGTGTGATGGACTTTAAGGGTAGTTGGGAGAAACACTTACATTAGTTGAATTCTCTTACAATAATAGTTTTCAAGCAAGTATTGGTATGGCACCGTATGAAGCTTTGTATGGACGGCCTTGCCGGTCACCAATATGTTGGACAGAAGTCGGAGAAGCACCTCTTTTAGGGCCAGAGTTAGTTCAAGAAACTACTGAGAAGGTGAAACTAATTCGGCAAAGACTTGAGACTGCTCAGAGTAGGCAGAAAAGCTATGCAAATCAAAGAAGAAGGCCTTTAGCATTTAAAGTTGGAGATCACGTGTTTCTAAAAATACAGCCTCGTCGAGGAGTTGTTCGTTTCGGAAAGAAGGGAAAGTTGTCACCTCGCTTCATTGGGCCTTTTGAAATCTTGGACAAAATAGGAGAAGTAGCATACCGTTTGGCTCTACTACCTCAACTGGCTGGTGTACATAATGTTTTCCATGTCTCTATGCTACGGAAATACGAGCCACACTCTTCTCACATCATCAATTGGGAGGAAATTAATCTTGATGAAGACGTGACATTTGAAGAAAAGCCTATCACGATTTTAGATCGTCGTAAGAAGAAATTACGAGGTAAAACTATACCATTGGTTCGAGTTCTCTGGAGACATCGTAGGATGGAAGAGTCAACGTGGGCGCGAGAAGATATAATACATGCCAATTACCCTCAACTTTTCGAGTCTAAAGGTACGAATTAATTTCGAAGACGAAATTTCTTTTTTTAGGAGGGTAGATTGTGAAAACCCATATTTAAATTTATTCTTAAAAGAAAATAAATAAATAAATAAATTAATCAGTTAATGTTATTCAGAACCTACCTAAAATATAGAATAGTGAGAAAAAAAAAATTGTTTTAAATTAACCAAATTCTATCACTAACGAAGACCTTATTAAGAATAATAAGGTATTGATGTTCAATAATTATTGTTATAAATTTATATTAAAATATATATATATATATATATAGGAGAATCAGATTCGGTGGCAAGGGTATGCCACATGCTAACTTGCATGTTGGCTTGGTGAATTCCACCAAATGATGGCTTTTGGGTAGAGTGAAATTTATGGCAGGGAATAACATCATGACAAGAGAGAGAGAGAGATCTGCCTATATATATCATAGGTAGACTTAGTTCATGGACACATACAAACAAAAGAAGGAGTATATATGGGTGAAGAGGGATTCAGTAGAAGGAAAAGAAGAGGGGAAGGTTAAGGAAGCAAAATTTTTCTACCACTTCATCACCCATTTGAATCCTACTATTAAGTAAGAAAACCCTCTCAATCCTCTCATTTTTTTTTTTTTTTTATATTTGAAATTTTTAGTATATATGATAAATTGTCTAAACTGTGTTGAGAATAATCTGTTTTGAATCTGCCAGCATGTTTGCCCGAATTTTTAGACAACTGTATACTCAAAATTTCGAGATGATTTCTCTACAAAGTTGTTGATAATGATGTCTAGTTCATCTAGGAATTTTGGAAACAATTTTTGAGCTTTCTACGAATTTATACAAATATTTTTACTAAATCTGAAACTGTGTTGAGAACAATCTGTTTTGAATCTGCCAGCATGTTTATCCGAATTTTTAGACAATTTTATACTCAAACTTTCGAGATGATTTCTTCTACAAAGTTGTTGATAATGATGTCTAGTTCATCCAGGAATTTTGAAAAATTTTTTTGAGCTTTCTACGAATTTATACAAATATTTTTACTAAATCTGAAACTGTGTTGAGAATAATCTATTTTGAATCTGCCAGCATGTTTACCCGAACTTTTAGACAATTTTATACTCAAAATTTCGAGATGATTTCTTCTACAAAGTTGTTAATAATGATGTTTAGTTCATCTAGGAATTTTGGCAACAATATTTGAGCTTTCTACGAATTTATACAAATTTTTAACTAAATCTAAAACTGTGAGACAGATTTTACTATGTATTTGAAAATTTATTTAAAATTCTATACTAAGCCAAATCTGGTAATTTCTAACTAAAAGATGAAATTTGAGAAGTCAAGTTTCATGATAAATTTTTACATTATGGATTTGATCTATAAATTTAAGCATGGAATTAATGTAAGGAAATGTGACAAATATCTGTGTCATAAAAATTGCTGAAAATTTTACAAGATTATTTACATCTTATTTTTCTAAAATTCTTTCTGAAAAGTGACCTAAACATCCCTATTGAGTATTCTGTTCAATTGCATGAATTTTAGGATTATGTAAATAATTTATTTATAATTTTTAATACCTAAGTTACAATCTAAAATTTTCTGGAAAGGATAAAATCATCATTTCAATATTGTGTTGGTCTAATCCATCAACTATTATAAATTAGTAATCCATGTATGGGTGTGTTGTGATTTATTTATTATTATGCTAAGTCTAATTTGGTAAATCAAAAATTTGTGCATATATGTAATAATGATTTATTTTTTGTATCTAAGTTATTATGTTCATACCATGGTTTAAATTAATTGTCTATTAACTTTTATACGATGAATTATTTTTGGTGTGACATGTATAATGTTGGGAGTTTTGTTTTAGTTGGTATAACATTATTGGTGATTGAGAATTGAATAATTTGTGTTTAATATATAAATTAACCGAAATGATTAATGGTATATATATAAAGTTACTGACAGAGGGTTAATACCGGGTATTCAGGGTGAACCCTGATTTTTAATAACTTTTAAGTAAATTGTG